TAAGACTGTATTTGCCTGGTTTGGGAATTTACTCAGTCAACATGTTGCCATACAATGTAAAACACTCAGCGTAGACAGGCTGACAGTATGTTAAGCATGTCAGCCCTTCTCTGTGAGTGTGCAACTAAGCTGATGTAAATTCCCAGCATAGTGGAGTACAGTGTTTATCTCCCATCAAAACTAGTGGAAGCAGCTGGATTGGACTGTTATAGAGGTTAAGTCACGCCTCGGTTTCCTAGTCTAGACTGGAGACAGTCCTGACTTCGGGGAAGCTGGGGGAATCAGTTAAGTGACATGCCTGCACCCGGGTGATGGTGACACTTGGGAAGAGAATACCAGAGTTCTTGGTTCTGGGCTCTTGACTTGTTCAGTTTGGTCTGGTTTTTACCTCTCCAACATTTTGGAGATCTCAGAATGGATCCTGTGCTTCTCAGGTGGCAGTATTCTTTTGACGCAGTTGGGATGTGCATGATTTTTAACCTCATTGTACAGTTTTGACTTAGACTTTTATACTAACATTGCTATCTGCCATCTAACCGTCTCTGTTACGGTAACACCGGGGATTCAAGCTAGATCAGAAGCTATAGGTGGAGGACAATTGGGAAAGAGTCCAGTGCAGAGCAACACAAATGATTAGGTGCCTGAGAAGCAAGATGTGTAAGGAAAGGTTGGATGAGCTCAGGTTTAGTCTGGAGAAGAGAAGACTGAGGGGGGATTTGATCACCATCTTTGGATACCTGAAGGGCCATGTCAGAGGATGGAGATGAGTTTTTCTTTGTGGCTGCAGGGGACAGGAAAAGGAGCAATGGCCTTGAGTTTAAGCAGGGGAAACTTTAGGTTGGAGATGAGGATGAACTTTCTGACTCGGGGTGGTCAAGCATTGGAACAGGCTGCTGGGGAAATTGTGGGATCTCCATCGCTGGACGTTTTCAAGAGCAGGTTGGACAGATGCTTGCCTGGGGTGGGTTAGGGATGCTCCTGCCTTGAGCAGGGGGCTGGGCTAGGTGACTTGATGAGGTCCCTTCCTGCCCTATTTTTCTCTGATTCAGGATCACCACAGGATGGTTAATGTTTGGTGGATGTTGGCATCTCACTCTTTTGGGAACAGCGTACACCTGGATGACTTTGTTGCTTTCCAGGCTGTGTGTTTGAGGATGAGCGTTTCTGTGTATTCAAACAAACAAACAAACAGAAAAGAGGAAACGTTGCTGCTGCCAGGTAGCTACAGAGAAAGTTAAGGCAGTTTTCATTTGAAGATTGTGACTTTAATTTTTTCTCGCGTGCTAAGACTTGTCTCTCTCATAGCAGGAAAGTTCCTGAGCCAGTTCTTTAGTTTAGTGGAAGACGTTGTCCTGCGTCCCCAAAAGGAACAGTGCTAAGATTGGGAGGCCTGAAAGTTGGTGTCTCCCCTTCTTTAATATCTCGTTGGGAGGAGTATAAAATCTGAGCATGGGATAATCTCTCTTGGCCTCAGAAGTACCTCAAATGTGTCATTATGAGCTTTTTCATTATTAGCTGTTTTCAAAACCAGTGCTTATCTGCAAATGAGACCACAAGTAAAATAACTACACACAAATCCCACCACCTCTTATATCTGTCCAATAGGGCTCATGCAATGGAAGAAAATGTCTTGATTAGAAATCAAATTCAGTCCAGGCTTCCAAGAGATTTTGAATTGAGAAACTTTAAATACTTTTTAAAAATGTACCTGGACAGTGTTTGAGCAAAGTAAGAAGTGATTAGGTAAAAGCAAAGCAGGGAGTATTTTTGGGGAAAATATCACTGCAGCAGTTTTCATTCCTGTAAGAGACTGGTGATTTACCCTGACAGCAGGGTAAAAACATCCAAGAAAAGAGGTCTGAAAGCAAATGTATGGAAAACACTTTTCGAACATTCCTTATTTTTTAATTGGCTGTCGAGCATAATTTAAGAATCTTCAAAGCTGAACCTTAATATTAAAAAAAAATTCTGGTTTTGCAACAGGATCATCTTTGAATCTGTGCAGTGCTCTTTAATTTACTACTTTGTACAGTTAATTAAAGTACCCCAGACTGACTTGACAGTCAATTAAACCCCAGTTGATTTCATTGAGGATGTGATCATTAATGTAATTGGCCAAAATGACAGAAGGCCCATTTGGAATGCTGCCCACTAGAAATTTTCCTCTTTCTAATCGGACATGTGCAATCCTGGTCAGAAAACCAGATGGATGCAGTTCCTATACCAGCAGTTTCTAGGGGAGATATATATTTTACGTTATAACAGCCTGGAAATGTGACTAGCTTTAACTGGCTCGGATGAAGGAATGGGTAACTTGGGAATCCAGACGGTAAAACCTTCTGGGTTTTATGTTCTGCATTAAGCTCTTTGAATCTATATAATAATAATAATATTATTATTATTATTTATTTTATTTTTTTTACTGTGGGACTTCAGGTCTCTGTAAGATCTCCATGTGATTTCAATTGCAAAAGACGGTATGTCTTTGTCTCTCTCTCTCCTCCCTCCCCCCCCTCCTTTTACCTCTTGCTTGATCTAACATGGTTTATCTGACTTGGTGTTCCTTAGTTTAATGGATGGAGATGTTATCTTCCTGTATTATATATATTTTTTTGCATGTAAAATACAGCTTGTTTCACCTAAGGACACCAACTCTGACCCTGAAGACTCCCTGAAGGGAGTCTTTTTGCCTGTGTGATGAGTCACTGAAATTAGTTGGTCTTTCTCTTGAGGTTGATGGCTTTGCTTCATCTGGAGTCTTCATTACTCTGTAGAATAGTTTTTCCACCAGATGGTTTGCAGTGCAATCTGTGTTTGGAGAGCACTTAGCACATTGTGGGTGCTACTGCGTTTAACATAATAGATTATTCCCTTCTGCAAGTGTTTTTTCTTTCCTTGGAGATCTCTAAAGATGTCTGCATGGGAAGCGCAGGTAAATTGCTGGCACCACAGCTTCCCTTTTGCACCTTTTCAACCTTGAGCATTTTCTTCATCTCTCTTTCCAGTGCCTCTATAAATAAGTGGCAGTGTTGCTCCAAGGTCTCTGAATCCCTGAGAATTGCTATTTGCTTTAAACCCTCCTTAATAATTTTCTGGAGCATTATCTTTATGGCTAAAGAGACTGTCTGCTAAAGAGCAATGCCAAGTAGTGTTTCTTTGCCACCCATCCTGCTTCCATAGCGCTTTTAGACCCTGATAGCTTGCAGAGCGAGAACATGACGTAAGAAACTGGATCTCTTGCTCCTGCATGGCAGCGGGCCACCGCATAACGTTCAGTGTGTACGGTGCCACTGTCTGAAGACTCTGGACATCTATGTGGCAAACTTAAGCAGAGTAAAAGCATTTTGTAGGAATACCATAATGGGTGGTGCGTGTGGAGGAGGAGATTTAATACTAGCATCTGCTGGGGGTGGCTCATGTTTTTCTCATTTCTTGTTAAGGACATTACTCATGCAGCCAGATAACTGGCGATATGTTTCACACGTGCAACATCTCTTCTATCTGGAGAAAGTTAACCTGAAAATTATTCTGTACTGCCCAGTAAAGGTCACTGTTGAGCAGAGAAGGGTAGTGTCTGTTTTCGCAGCGTTTTGGCATTGAAATGGCTTGTCTTAAAAGATGCATTGCATACAAAACCTACTTATAAACAGTATTGCTGTGTGTCTGAAGGACAGCTGGTGAGCCTCTATTTTCTGATACGGTTCTTTAAAATGTGTGTATATCTTAAATCTTTGCTAATGATGATTTCAGGTTTAAAATTCCTACATTTGTGTAAACAGAAGTAGAACTGCTTGGTCTCATTACCAACTTGTCTACTTCAGTATATGTCAAAACTTTTTTCTTTTGTCTTGGACACATTTCTTTCCTTCTCTTTTACCCTTAAAATGCTGGTCAGTCTGTGTGACGGAGTTATTTTATTCAGATTTACCAAGGTTTCATGGCTATAAGTGAGCAATTAAATAGGAAAAGATGAATGACTTAGTGAGTCTAAGGTTAAATAAAAAAAAAAATAGGTCACCTGTTAAGTCCACCAGTGCAGCCTTGGTTTGATAGGCTCCAGAGTCATCCTGGTTATTCCAGTATCCTCTCTTTATATATCTATATCTATAAAAAAAAAAAAAAAAATCTAGACCTACTGCTGTTCTTTCTCTCCCCTTCTCTTTTTTTTTTTTTTACTTGGCAAATATAACTTATTTCCTGTGTTTTAGCTGAGTCGAAAATAATGTAGGTTTTAAAAAAACAAAACGCTCACTCTGGCACTTTACCTTGAGAGCATTTTTTCCCCCCCTATGCAGCAGCATCACTTGCGTAAGCTTGGGGCTAAACCGTCAGCCGGTGTTAACTAGCTCTGGTAAGTGCAATGGAGCTAGGACTGACTATACCAGGTGAAGAGTTGGTCCTGAAGCTCTCATGTAAGGAAGGGTGTAGGTGCTGCCACTATTAATGTCAGCGACAGTAGATTCTCCTTTAATTGAACTGGAAGTTGGTTTGGTTTTAGGTTCAGGAAACAGCTAGTCCATCCTCAGGATGGTGCCTCTCATGCTGGCAGTGGACTTTTATGAGCTGTTTATTAAATATTACTGATGTTGACTAAAGCAAAAAATATTCCCTCCCCCGTTTGGTCTACAGACTAATAAATATTAGTGGTTTTATTTCATGCACTGAAGAATGTCTTATGAAGAAGACAAAATCCCTTCTATAAGGGAACTTTTTTTCTTATCAAATTTTTGGGCCCAAAGTACCAAGTCTGTCTCCTTAATATCTGGAAGTACAAGGCATTCTTAGATGGAGAATGCTCTTTAGACAGTCCTGTTCATCTCTGTGACGAGATGAAACTATTCCCTGATGCTGTATACGCTTATTTGTTGATTTGTGTTGCCAAAATAGAGCAAAAAATTGGAAGGTAAACTGATGTGAATTGAGTTGAGCTCCTCGGCTATGTTTATGATAATGGTAGCTAATCGGTCATGTCTGATTTTCTTTTCTTTCTTTTTGTTTAGCATCCAGCAAAGACGGAAGAAAAACGAATCCAGCACCTAAGATGTGAGAGATCCTTTCCTTCACATAAGGAAAACTTCTGTACAAAATGGATCGAAGTAAACGGAACTCAATCGCGGGATTTCCACCACGCTTGGAGCGCGTTGAGGATTTTGATGGGGGTGGCGGAGGTGATGGGACTGTGTCCCAGATGGGGAGAGTTTGCACCTCTTCGTACAGAGCCCTGATAAGTGCCTTTTCCAGACTTACACGTCTTGATGACTTCACCTGCGAGAAAATAGGCTCTGGTTTCTTCTCTGAGGTGTTCAAGGTGGGTGGCTAATCTTTCATGGTGCTAGTGCAGAGAATGTGTTTGAGGCTCTGAACGAGGACTCTCTCTGTAGTCCTTTGCAGTCCTTGTACATGCTTTGCTTGGGGTGACTGATTGATGGGAACCTTGGCAAGTGGCATAAATGTTCTTTTACCTGTCTCTGCTTATTTATAAAATTGTGGGTCACTTATTTTAGGGAAGCTGCAGAAGAGCTGGGGGGAACCAGGGAAACTTTGGGCTTGGCTGCTACTTTCTCATGCATATTTAATATGTGTGTATGTAATTTATTAAATATAGATGCCTTGTATGAGAGAACTCCTGGTTTGGATGACTTCCATTTGGCTTGGTAATCAGCCTCACAGGACTGCACTTGTTTCTGTAGTACAGGTTGTTGATTATCTTTGCCTACTAACAGGAGAAGCAGGCATGTCGGGATTTCAGCATGTGACTGTCGTCTCTGAAACAACATGTCTTATGGCACGGCACAGCACATCTGTAACCACTGGCTGTCTTCTGCTTCTTTTTGTTCTCTTTACTTCCTCCGTTCACTCGCTCAGTTTTTCAGTACAATAAATCTTTGATTCTTTGAGCAGATCCGGGGTTGTCAGTGACCTGCTTCTCCTTGGTATTTGGAAAATCAATAAAAGCCATAAAACCAAAGTTGAGATTATGCAATCCTGTGTCTGTCAGGCGTGTTCCTGCTGTGCTGAGGTTTCTAGAAGGTTTATAGTTCTTTGGATTTTTGCTCGTTTTTATTAGGCCATGAAAAATATTTAAGCTCTTTTAAATAATCTGTCTCCTACCTCCATGGCACAAATTAAAATGGTCTGACTTGGGTCTTTTCAGGTGTTAGTTAAATAGTTTTTTTTGGTCTCAGATTATGGCTTTGGATAAAATCAAAATTGCATCTTGTATTTCTGTGACCTGAGGATTTTTTTTTTTTTTTTTTTTTTTCCAGCATTTTCATCTGTGATGCTACATTTCTGGTAGTCTTATACCATGTGATATTTAATGTTAATTCCACCTTGCCTAAAGCTGCAGATAAGTTCATAAATTACAACTTAAAATGTATATAATAAAACAAGATTTAACTTTATGCCACTCTGGCAGAACAGAAGTATTTAATACTTTGTATGTAACTATATGGGTTTTGGATTAAGATGAAAAGAATTGCATTAAATAAACTCTTGGTAACTATACCTGTGAAGTTTAACGTCACTTGATAAGATTATCATGGGGCAAGTGGTGTAGGTCATTGTACGTCTGGAGGGTTCGAGTGGCTTGTTTGTTGTTTAAATCAATATTACTTGTGTACTAGCAGTAGATCTGAGTGCTTGTGCTTCCATTTTTATGTTTTTAGATCTTTCCAAAGTAATTGAAATCATTGTAATGACATGTACAGTAGTTGAACTGCTATACTTTTACATACAGTAGTAGATCACACACAGCAGTAATAGCTTAGAAAATATGTAAAAACCCCTCAAAACTAACAGGAATATAGAAGATTATCCATGAGGTTTACTGCTAGATGGGTCAACCCTATTTCAATATTTGAACAACTGGAAAAAAAAAAAGGCATAGAGCTTGGTATTACTTTTTTTAAACCTTAGTATCTGAATTGGATTCCTGAGTGCTTATATACCTTGTTATGTCTTGATGCTTTCCAGAAGATGGAACTTGCAGTCTAATCGGGCACGGAGTAGACAAGAGCTGGACATATTTCCAGGTATCCAGAGAAGGGACTGATGTCCTAGCAGTATTGAGGGCGATTACCATTGCTTAACTGCAGCTGGGACTGTAGAAATTATTGCAGTTTGGCCATATCCATGCTGCACAAACAGGTTTTTTAGGTTAACTAGCTGGCTTTCCTCTGTTCAATATTAGCAGATGTTGTGGGAGAGGATCCTTGAGGAGAAGGCGAATGCTTGCTCCCTGGGATGGGTAGAGTGTTGGGAGTTGGGGAAGGGTGGGGAGAAATAATATGGTTGAATTTTGGGGAAACAAAGCTGTTCTCTCTGAATCCTTCCCTTAAGAGTGAGGGTTGGGTAGAGCAGAAATGAATTGCTAGCATATGTGATAGCTGATATGTTGCCTAAGGCTTCAGGATGAGATGGTCTTATCCTTGGAGAACACTCAGTTTAGCGTGGTAGAAGATGTTTACTTCCATGTTCTGCTTAGGGGCCTTTTTTAACTGGGAGAAATCTATGGTATTTGGCTCAGGATGTCAGCTGCAAGTCTGGGGAAAAAAAAATGATTGTCCTCTTTCTTACAGGCTTGGGTTTTTTCATCTTTTACATACAGCCTGAGAAACGTTGTCTTTTCCTCGAGTAGAATTGCTGTCGGTTGTATTCATCTCCCTGTGTAGCTCACCCGGGTCTCTTATACACTAAGCCTGTGGTAGTGTGGATAGAAAAAGTAATCTGTCTGGGACCTGTTCCTCTAGAAGCAACAGCTCTATCTATAGAGGGGCAAAGCATGCCCACATGGTGAAGTCATATTCAAGTTTTTTTTTTTTTTTTTTTTTTTTTTTTTTTTTTTTTTTTTTGGTTTTTTTGTTGTTTTTTTCCCTCCCTGCTGTCACTGAAGCTAAGGTTTTATTTCATCCTTCTGGAGGAAAGGGGTGGGAAGTGTTTCAGGGCATGAATCCAGATACAGCTTGTGTTCATTTGGGCAAGTTTTGTGCCCTGTGGTGATGTCAGTGTGGCCACCTAAGCAACTAATCCAAGTGCGCTAACGATCAGATTTCATGCTGAGTGCCTTGATGTACTTCCAGCAAGGAGAGAGCTCATGGTTCAGTGCAGTTCAAGTACAGTCTGGTCTGTAGCCTCCCAGCGGAGGGATCAACATCAAGTCAAATCCAAGAGCATCTTAGAGGTGATTTTTAAGCAACTTATTGAGTACAGAAAATCAACTTTTTCAGTTAGAGTGATTATTCCCACTCTTATTTTATATCATTTCACTAAGTCTGTAGTAAACACCAGACTAAGTAGATTTTGCACTCTAACATAACATAGCCCTATTTTGAAGGCTATGTTTTATGGCTATATAACCGACTCATTCTTTTTGTTTAATTTTAGTGATTATCACAAGAAACACTTCTCAGTGTAGTCTTTCACAGTGGGTGTAAATTGGTTGCATTTGAATTGGAGGTTGCAATACATATGAGTATAGAAAAAAAATGCTAGTTTTGCAAATACAAAATTGCAGGAGAAAACATGCATGTCCTAATGAGCCATTCTTGGTGAGTTTTAATATTAGTGGTTTTGTAGGCCACAGTAAGCTTAAAATGCACTATTCAATTCTTGTTTTAAATGCTTCCTATGAAAACTGCAGCTGAAAATTTGAAGTGGATTTTTTTTTTTTTTTTTTTTTTAAAAGCTTATAGCATAATGTCAGTGAGGAGTTACTTATGTACAGATGGTTCTCTGGGTTTACCTCCACATGTAGTATTAATCTAGAATTTCATTAGCCACCCATGTAGCAATTTAAGTATCCTTAAACATTAAGCCTAATATTTTTCTCAGCTGTTAAACTATAATGGATGCAGCTGGCTAATTGGCTTCAGGCTTAGGCTCCACAGGCCTTTGCAAATGATGGAGGACTCTCTTTTTTTCAAATGGTGCTAAGCATGAAGAATCTTTTATTAATAAAAGAAAACTTTAAAAGTTCAAGCTAAGAAACAAATATATTGCAAGACCTGTAGGTACTAATAGAGCTGCCGTTAACGTGGGAGAGATGCGTGTCATGCACTGAAACTAAATAGTGCATTATGAAACATGCTGTTCGTTATAGAATATGCATTGTACAGTCTGAAGTATGTGAGCCCTTAATTTCTCTTCTGTTCAGATCTGATAATTACCAATAAAATTACAAGTATATTTAAATACTTGCTCAAAATTTCTTGCTAGAAATTTTTTCTGCCAAAATCTTTTTATTGGCTTTATTCAAGGCTTTACGTATTCTACATTGAGCCTGTATTCTGTGACAGACTGGGTGTTCTGTTGCAAGTTTTTGGGTGACCTTTTTTAAAGTTTTGGTTTGGGATTTTCTTACTCCTTGACTACAATATGAGTAGTGTAGCCAGCCCAGAATCCTTTGTGGTGCTTATTCTCATATTCATTTTATTTAATTTCCACCAAGCTCTGTCTTTCCCGTCCCTGTGAATTCTCAGTTTCCAGAGTACTGCAGACATGCTTTGACAACATTAACAGAATTGTAAACTTTGGTGGCATTCAGGAAAAGTGAGAGGGTGCCTTGGGTTGTGGGATAAACACATTAAGTGTCGTTGTAGAAAGGTGCAGTAGCTAATGATGGTACTTTATTGTATTGCTACCAGCTTTTCTGTCTCCTTAGATGAGAACTTCCACCTCTCTCTGGTGACGGAGAGAAGTAATTGGAAGCTGGCGCGCACAAGTTAATTCTGTAGTGGGGATACTTCATTAGTAATGTTTGAGTTGGAGTGGGCCACTGAGGCCGCCTGTCCCTCCAGTTTTCCCCATACAAGTCCTTGATTCAGAACAGGTGGTGTTTGGGCAGCCGGGCCTGGCCTAACCCTACACTTTGCTGTTCCCTCAGACTTGCTCTTCTACTTCGCGCTCTTTGCGTGATTTTTTTTTTTTTTTTTTTTTTTCTTCCTCGCTTTCTGACTCAATTTGTCTTTGGAGTCCGTTCACACATCCTGACTCAGCCGCACATGTCCTGGCATGACAGTCCACTGTGCAACAGGCGTGCATGTCAGAGGTGCCAAAAGTGGAATTTGTGCATTGGCATGTCTTTATTTTCCAAAACCCTCAGTTTGTGGCTTGTCCTTTTTTTTTCTTTTTGCCCCCTTTTTGCAGGGAAAAAAATATCCCATGTGATCATTTGGAATGGCATGGGCATCTTGGAGTGTTTTCATTGCCCAGCTCTTGTCTTGTTCAGTGATGTGCGAATCAGAGTGGCCTGTGAAACTGCTAAGGGACTGGAAATGTGTACAGTGGAAGTATGAGGAGGGAGGAAGG